AGCGTGGTCAGATGGAGGTGCCGTGGGAGGTGTCCAGGGCCTCCGGAAGGACGCCCCCAGGCACGGGCTGGAAGGACACGGGGATGGGGGTCTTCACCGGGCTCTGGCGGAACAGCCCCCCGTTGGGCGACCTGTGTTTGCACTGCATGGAGGGCAAGGTGGCCGCGCTGCTCAGCGGCAGCGGCAGGTTGCCGCTGGGCCCCGCCGAGAGGGTCCTGCTGGTGCCGTGGCTGCTCTGCTCGGGCAGAAAGGTGCTGACGGAGAGCTGGGTGCTCTGGTACTCCCGTGGTGGCTCCAACGCCTGGCTGGGCGCCAGACCCCCCATCTCTAAGGCCGAGAGCTCGATGGACGCCGGGGAGATCTGCTTGTGGGCGATGTCTTCGTCCATGAGGCTGTTCATGCGCCGGTGGACCTGCTCCAGGTTCACCTCCTTGTCCTGGGGGGAGAGCACGGGGGTCAGACTCGGCCCCACTGAGGCAGGCCCATCGGCCAGGACAGATGGGACAGGGAAACTGAGGCAGGCAGTTGAACAAACCAGCAGAGCAACTGCAGCAGCTACAGAAGGCCACCTCCCTGGAATAACATCTAGGCCTCAGCTGTATTTCAGGTCCTGGCCCAGAAAAGCAGCAAAACCAGGTAGGTGAAGCCAGGACCAGCTGCAGTGAATGACAACCCCCTGCCCCGGGACTGAGCAATCAGTGGACACCATGACGCTGAAGGAGCACATGTGGAAAACTGGTGAATAATCTGTTGAAACCCTCCCCTGAGATTCCCAGAGCAGGAGATAGATAAATATCCTCAACACAAAGGACCCAGCTTGTGCTCTCCCTTTGGGGAACCCCCATTCCCTTTCCCCTCTTCTTCCCATTCTTCCCCCACAGGCTGTCCCAGGCTAACCCCCTGAACCTTCCCCCACACGCAGGCATCTCCTAAACTCTAAGGAACCCCACAAGACTTGCAACCAGGGGAGCGATGGGCAGTGACAGGTTGTCCCAGGCTAACCCCCTGAACCTGACCCCAAGGCCCCCTTTTCTCTGACTTCCCAGAGAGCCAGGGCCGCCCAGCCTAGGCTCTCCTGGTGCTTCTCCTGTGCCAAGCCCTTTCTTCTTTTCCTGCCCCAGCTTTAATAAATGTTCCCTCACAGTCTCCTGGACTCGTGTTGTGAAATTTTTCCTGCGCTAAGTCAAGAACCCACACTACCGGCCAGCCCCAGGCAGCCCCAACAAGGGCCAGGTCCCCTTTCCAGTAACACTACCAGGAGCCAAGTGTGGCTCTCTACGACTCTTGGGGGCCTGGAGACCCCAGGCCTCTCAGGCCTGTTGGACAGTGGTGAGTGTGCCCGTTTCTCCCACCTCCCCCAGCTGTGTGGCCAGCGCCCCGCCGCTATCTGGGGACCTGTAGCCTAGGACACTGTCCGAGGCAGCATAAGACCCACAAGCCAGCCTTGCAGCCTGGACCTCCCCTCCCCGCTCCGGTTAGAATCGCTGCCTGCACCGCGGCCTTGGGGAAAGACACCTGGAGACCTGCGGATGCGGGGGGATGCTGCCTCCTGGGGGCGAACGGCAACCGTCCTGGAGCCCCATGCGCCCATGCATTGGCCATTTGGAGTTTATAATGCTCAAAGGCTGGGTGTAATCACCCCCATATATAAGGAAACTTGATTCAGAAAGGTAGAGGAGCTCCCCAGAGACACGCCCCGGAGACACACCCCAGACACACCCCAAGATACCCCAGACACACCCCAGAGACACACCTCAGAGACACACCCCACACACACTCAGGAGACACCCCAGAGACAGACCCCAGATACACCCAAGAGATACCCCACAGACACACCCCAGATACACCCCAGAGACACACCCCAGACATACTCTGAGATACTCCAGACAAGCCCCAGAGACACACCCCAGAGATATACCCCAGAGACACCTAAGAGACACATCCAAGACACACCCCAGAGACACCCCAGAGACACACCCCAGATACACCCAAGAGACACATCAGAGACACACCCCAGATACACCCAAGAGACACCCCAGAGGCACACCTCAGACACATCCCGAAAACACCCCAGACATACCCTGAGATACTCCAGACAAGCCCCAGAGACATACCCCAGAGACACCTCAGAGACACACCCAAGACACACCCCAGAGACAACTCAGAGACACACCCCAGATACACCCTAGAGACACACCCTGAGATACCACGGACACATCCCAGAGACGACCCCATGAGACATCTCAGACACACTCCAAGACACACCTCAGAGACACACCCCAGAGACACACCCCAGACACATCCCAAAGACATATCTCAGAGACACACCCCAGAGACACACCCCAGACACATCCCAAAGACATATCTCAGAGACACACCCCAGCTACACACTCCAGACACACCCCAGAGATACCCCAGAGACACCCCACACACCCCAGACAAACCCCAGACACCCCAGAGAGACACCTCAGAGACACCCTAGAGACATACACTAGAGACATTTCAGAGACACCCCAGAGACACACCCTAGAGACACCCCAGAGAGATATACCCCAGAGACACAGAAGTGAATTCTGGCCTCACCTGGAGACTTGTTCCTTCTTGAACAAGGTCTCCAGGGATGTTAGGAAGGGGCATGGCCCCGTCTGGGAGATTCCTGGGTGGGGGTGTGGGGGAGGGGCCAGTATGGAAAAGAAAGGGGCTCCCAGGGGTCAGCTGACTTTCCTGGTGTCATGAGGCCCGAGGCTGTGGAGATGGGATGATTCTAACTCCCGAGTCTTTCCGTATGGTAAATAGCATCAAGGAAATTGTTTGGTATATTTATTTGCTTAAAAAGAAAGTAAAATAGAACATATGTCATTCCTTTCAAATAACTTGATGGTTTGTTGACAATGTCAGAATAACCAAGGACATCCAAGTGCTTTAAAGCCCCTTAAAAACAAAAACAACGTAACCCACTTCC